GGCCATGATTGGTCCCTTATGTGAACAACCTTATTGGTTGGTATGTGTACAGTGGGTGTGGCTATATTAGCCGGGAATGTTTAAAAGCAGGACAGCTGTGATGTAAAGGCTGTTCTGGCAATCAGATGTTGATCCGTGTTGGAGTTGTGTTTGAGTTGAAGAATAAAGCTGTGTTCTTGCTGAATCATTCTCTGACTTCCTTTGTTAAGCGAGCGACTTAACAGAAGGGCATTGCTGACATGTAATGGCATAAATCACATTAGAGGATGAGCAAGAGTCGGAAGCTGAGAGGGTCTGGCTGATGTTGCTGGATCCAGTGCGGATGTCACGAAGTTGTTCAGGGTGGTGAGAACCAGGGATTGCTATATGCTCCTCATATTCCCTTTTTGCCTGCCTGACCTCAGACTTGCATTTTATTTGCCATAGCCTGTGTTCCGTTTTATCAGCCTCACTGTGACTAGCTTTCCACTGCTTAAAGGAATTCTTTTTACTTTTTACAGCCTCCATTACTCTGTTTGTTAACCATGCAGGCTTTTTCCTATACCTGTTTGTGCCTTTCCTAACCTGCGGAATATATATTTTTTGAGCTTCTAGGATCGTAGTTTTAAATAGATCCCAAGCTTCCCCAATTGTTTTGACCCTTTCTACTTTTCCTTTCAGTTTCCTCCCCACGTGTCCCCTCATATCAGAGAAATTACCCCTTTTAAAGTTAAAAATGGTTGTGTGAGTCTTTTTGGCCAATTCTCTATTTGTACAAATGATGAACTCAACAACATTATGATCACTGTTTCCAAGCGGTGCAATCACTTTTACATCTCTCACCAGGTCTTGAGTGTTACTTAGGACCAAATCAAGGATCGCCTCTCCCCTGGTAGGTTCCGTGACCATCTGCTCCATAGCACAGTCATTTAGAGTGTCTAGAAACTCAATCTCTTTTTCCCGGCTAGAACACATATTGACCCAATCAATGTGTGGGTAGTTAAAATCACCTATTATTACACAGTGTTTTTGTCTAGTTGCTATCTTTAAGGCATTCATCATTTTATAATCCTCCTCTATCTTTTGATCTGGTGGGCGATAACAAACTCCCAGTGTTAAGTTTCCTTTTGGCCCCCCTATTTCAACCCATAGAACTTCCAGAAGCGAATCCAATTCACTTAGCCTCTCAATCTTTCTAGACTTTATACCCTCTCTGACATACAGAGCTACCCCACCTCCAACCCTTCCCCCCCTATCCTTCCGATATAATATATAACCGGGAATCACTGTGTCCCACTGATTTTCCTCATCCCACCAAGTTTCAGAAATACCCACAATGTCTATTTTTCCCTCCGACACCAAGCACTCCAACTCCCCGATTTTACCTCGGACACTTCTAGCATTTGTATAGAAACAGCTGTAATTTCCCTTACAAGTTAAGCCTGCATCCTTCCTCTTGCTATCTCGAGTCGTTGTCCGGCAGTCCATGTCACCAGCCATGGCCTCTGTGGACAATTTCAATCCACCTCCCTGTAGAAAAGCAACCGGTACCCCCTCACCTCTCTCAGATGAGCCAACCCGAACCAGAGACTTTTCATCTCCTGTCGGCTTTCCCCCAATATTCAGTTTAAAAGCTGCTCTGCCACCTTTTTGATTTTAAGTGCCAGCAGCCTGGTTCCTTCTCGGGACAAGTGGAGACCGTCTCGCCTGTACAGCTCCCTCTTGTTCCAAAAAGTATCCCAGTGCCTAACAAACCTGAACCCTTCCCCCCTACACCATCGTCTCATCCACGCATTGAGACTCCTGATCTCTGCCTGTCTCTCCGGCCCTGCGCGTGGAACAGGTAACACTTCTGAGAAGGCTACCTTGGAGGTCCTGGACCTAAGTTTCCTGCCCAGCATCCTAAATTTCTCCTCCAGGACCTCACGACTGCATTTCCCCACATCGTTGGTGCCGACATGCACCACGACCACTGGCTCCTCCCCAGCACTATCTACCAGCCTATCTAAAACACGCGTAATGTCCGCTACCTTCGCACCAGGCAGGCAAGTCACCATACGGTCAGTACGCGGGTTCGCCACCCAGCTGTCTACCTGCCTAAGGATCGAATCACCCACTACCAAGAGCCCCCCTCCCACCCTGCTCAGGGATGGTTCCTTGGTGCAAAAGGAGAGCCGCTCACCAGCTGGGGAAGAGGTCCCTTCTGAGGGCACATTCCCCTTATCCTCAGCACGGTGCCCTGTTTCCCCTAGACCCTCATGCTCCCTGACAGCAGCGGGGCTGCCAGATCCAGAGTGGGACGTAGCTAACAAGTCCCCGAGAGTCTTTTCTGTGTGCCTAGCTGACTGTCTCTGCTTCTCCAGGTCAGCCACCTTGGCCTCAAGGGAGCACACACGTTCCCTGAGAACCAGGAGCTCCTTGCACCGAGCACACACCCAAGACTTCTGCCCAGTGGGCAGATAGTCATACATGTGACATTCTTTCTCAATGAACAGGTAGCCGCTGACTGACAGGCAGCCCCAGAGCCTCCCCAAGGTGCTCAGCCGCCTCAGTGAGGCAAGAGGGGGAGCTCCTCCAGCCACCGTGCCCGCATGCCTGGCAACCCCTTGGCGACTCCTGCCGGGGCTCCCTGAGCCTCTTGCCTGCAGTTTGTGCTCTGCTCACAGTGCTGCATGCAGCTCCCGTGGCACTTTAGGCACCAGCTCCTTCCCGCTCCTCCTCCCGTCGTCCAGCTTCCCAAGAGCTGCAGCTCCTTTCCTCTCAGCCAGATCCTCCCCACTGCTGCTATTGCTGATGCAAGGTGGGGGGAGCCTTTGAAAGGCAGTGGTCAGCCTGCTGAGCTCTCTCCCTGAGAAAATGCCGGCCTTGTGGCTGAGGGAGAGGGGGTGCAAGGGGCAGCGAAGGTGCTTCCTGTGCTTGCCACCACTCGCTAGGTCTGCCTCCTTTACCCATGCAGCCTTTCTGGCCAGTCATCAGGGTTGCCTTATGAAGTTTCCCGCCCCTTGGCATCCTTCCTCCTCTGTTTCCCTTTTGGGCCGTGGAGGGGTTGCTGCTCCCTCCGGGGGGGGGGGGGGGGGGGAACGCCCGGGGGGACAGAGGAGAAAAGGGAATCCCCGTCACTCATAATCAGCGGGGAGCTCTCCTGTACCACACCGGGCTGCCTCCTAAGCCTCCGCCCGGTGGAGCATCCATCCCCTTCGCTAGCTCCCTCCAGACTGAGGCCAAGACGCTGGCCAGAGGCTCTGTGGGCAAGACTGAGGCAACGCAGCAAGGCAATGCCGCCAGGGGATTGGCAGACCTTCCGAGTGGCAGCTGAGTGACCCAAATGCTGTGGGAGCATGTGGAACGTTCACCCCAAAACAGCATTATATATAAGGAGAGATGTCATGGTCTGAGGTCTGGTATTAGAGGCAACAAATTGGGAGCCTCCAACTCACAGGAGGATAAACAATTAGGAATCCCTCTCACAATAGCACAAGATTGCTGTGCGCTGTGAATCAATGATCTTCCTGCTCACCTATCTCCAAACCTCAGTTGCCAAGCCATGTAGCATCATGTGCTGAACTTTGAGGCTAATTGGGCTGGATATTTTACACTATTTACAAGCATAAAACAGACCAGTTTTCTCTTTCACTGTCACTCAACTATCCTCAATACTGTATGCCTCCTGGAAGACAAGCATGCTCAGTCCTAACTAGGCTGATGTGGAAAGTGATATTTTTTCATTTGCAGACTAGCATTTTTGTGCATAGCTCAGTGTTTCTCCAAGTATGTAGAAACCCCTACCTTGTCTCTGATCTTGTGGATGGGTCTATTTTGCTGCCTCATGGATAGGCACAAAACAATGTTTGTTTTTTACAGGCAGTGATGGATAAAATGACAGCTATTACAAAAAAACAAACAGGTTATTTCTTTAAGTGCTGCTGGATTAGGGCGGCGGCTCCTACTCAAAGGCCTGGCGGAAGAGCTCCGTTTTGCAGGCCCTGTGGAACTGGACAAGGTCCTGCAGGGCCCGGATCTCCCCTGGGAGCTCGTTCCACCAGGTAGGAGCCGCCACCAAAAAAGCCCTGGCCCTGGTCACAGCTAGTTTGGTATATCTGGGTCCTGGGATGACCAACAAATTTTGGGCCCCCGACCGTAGTGCTCTTGGGGGAACATGTGGGGAAAGGCAATCCCTCAGGTAGGCTGGACCCTGGCCATATAGGGCTTTATAGGTAATAACCAGCACTTTGAAGTGGATCCGGTATGCTATCGGCAGCCAGTGCAGTGCTTTCAGCACAGGCTGAATATGGTCCCTCCTAGAGAGACTCATCAACAGCCTGGGTGCAGCATTCTGCACCAGCTGCAGCTTCCGGATCTGCGACAAAGGCAGCCCCATGTAGAGAGCGTTGCAGTAGTCTAGCCTCGAGGTGACCGTCGCATGGATCACTGTGGCCAGGTCATCGCGGTCAAAGTAGGGGACCTACTGCCGCGCCAACCGAAGGTGGTAAAAGGCTGACTTGACAGTGGCTGCCACCTGGGCCTCCATTGTTAATGTGGAGTCCAGGAGCACCCCCAAACTCCTAACCCTAGAAGCTGGTACCAAAGGCACCCCGTCGAAGGTCGGGAGAGGGAGCCCTAACCCCACACCGGTCCAACTCAGGCCCAGGACCTCTGTCTTTGCCGGGTTTAGTTTCAATCGGCTCAGCCGGAGCCAACCAGCCACGGCCTCCAATCCCTGGTGAAGGTCATTGGGACACGAGTCCCACCGGCCACCCAGCATCAGATAGAGCTGGGTGTCATCTGCATACTGATGGCACCCAAGCCCATAGCTCCAGGCAATCTGGGCAAGGGGGTGCATATGTTAAATAGCATTGGGGACAACACCACACCCTGAGGCACCCCACAATCAAGGGTAACTTAATGCAAAGCAGCAATATGATATCTCCTTTACAACAACACAAAGTGAAGTGATTTTCTATGTACAAATTGTAGATAAACACCCCAAAGACACCAATAAAACCCCAAATGAGTGAGATGGGAAAGAATATGGTTTAATAAGCACATCAAAACAGCAGCTTTGACTTACAGTATCTGTTTCTGGATGAAGTGAAGGCTGGCAAATCACTTGCTGGTTTGTCAGTATTTTTTTATCAGTAGCCACATATTAAATATTCCAGTATGCCTGAGCCTGCTTCAGTGGGGTATAACTCGAATAAATAAATAAATAAATACCTGGTTTCTTCTCAGGGCACACTAAATCAGATTTCTGTGTACTTCACTCTTGCCAGAAGCATGACTGCTATTTATCCTTATCCCTGTGACAGCATCTACTCCTCTTTCTGTTTTCTCTCAAACTGTTGCAAGACCTTGGCCCCCGTACATGACATGTGATGCTGCAAAAACTGCCCATGTAGCAGGCTTCAGTTCCCCCTGCTGGGTGTCTACTGAAACTACTGCAACCAGCTTAATTCTTAGTCCCAGCCAGGAACAAGGGGCTTACTTAAATGCTCATTTCTCAGTTTTCAAAGTGAAAGTTGCTGCACTAATAGGAACAGCCTGCAGGGTAGTGTGGTATTGCACTCCAATCAAATATGAGATGATTCAGTGGCTGAGTTTTTCTAATACTCAATTCTCCCTAACTTGGAGCACCCCCATTTGGGCATATGATGTAGGATTTCTGTCTTTCCCAGGGGACCACCTCAGTTGTTTGAGAGATCAAAAGCAAGTTGTTCTGCTGAGACCAACAGATAGGGATAGAAACGCATCCTTCCGTCCAGAATGCGTAACCCACATGGCACTCCAAGCCAGATGCACACCCCATATGCACTGCAGTCGATTCTCACGCCATGCCACACATTCATTTATTTACTTCACTCATACCCTGCCTTTCTCCTCCGCTGGGACCCAAAGCAACTTACAATCAGTCTCCTCCGCTTCCTTCTGAGACAGGCTGAGTGCATGTGACTGGCCCAAGGCCACCCAGCAAGCTTCTATTATGGCAGAGTGGGGATTTGAACCGGGGTCTCCCAGATCACAGTCTGACACTCTAGCCGTTTCACCCCTCTGCCTTGACTGGATTCATGCAAGAACAAACGGAAGACAGAAGCTACTTCTACCAGCTTATCCTCCTTGCTGAAGCAAATCAATAAGTCTACAACATGTATACAAGATAACAGATACAAATTTAGTTCACATCCATTATTTTGTTTGCCACGTCTACTTAACATCTGCTCCAAGACTGACGTCCAACTGTAATGCTATTTGGCCAATAGCATTTGTAACAGAATCTAGCTCCAAGCATCTGTTATTAATCTTGCAGCATGGTGACTATTTATAGACCTTATCTCATGCATCTTACAGCAAGCAGTAAATAATTGGCAAGTTGTATGCTCTTCTGCAAATGATCTTTACTCTTTATGAGTTATTTTCCGGCTGGCATAACTCCCCATGATTGTCTAACATCCTTATGTGATGTAGGTGATGACACCTTCTAGTTATTCCTACATCAAACTTGCAATAAGGTGCCCAGAAGTAGTTTATGGACTGAATGGGGGGAGGGCAGTTTCTCTGCACATCTCCGGCAGAATTGGATTTTGCCTAAGAAAAGTCACATTTGAGGACTTTGTTTATTTATTTATGTATTATGAGATTTATAGCCCTCCCTCCCTCCCTCCCCGCGAGCGCCAGGAGGCTTGAGGCATTTCACTTCCTGCTGAAAGGACATTCTGACAAGCCGAGGCCAGACTGTCTCCACTCACAGGGGACTCTTCACTTGTCCCTATTCACCTGGTAGGTCTAATCCCAGGAAGGCAAAGCTCTGGCAAACTTAGCAGTCAGCAGAGGTGATGCAACCTTAACATTTTATTGGCAAAGGGAAAATCAGCACGGAGATCAGGCACGACGTGGGGAGAGGAGGTGGCAGTAGAGGCCGGCTGTCCTTTATCAGCGGGAAGCGGCTTATGCTGGCCCAGCCCCCTGCTGCATCCTCTTCATCAGCTCTTCATCCTGCATCGAGAGCTCGGTCAGTTTCTTGCCCATGCGCTCATGGATGTCCAGATACTTGGCAACGCAACGATCCAGGCACACCGACTCCCCCTTGGACAGCTCCGCCTCCTTGTAGTGTGGAGGCACACATTTGCGATGGCAAGCGCTGGTCATTCTGGGACAGAAGAAGGGAGATCGTGAGACAACGGGGCCTCCTGGCTGCTCCAACTCTGCTCGCTGTTCAGCCAAAACAAACCGTTCTTATCGACAGCCTGTGTCCCCATGGCCACCTGAAGGTGCCCAAAACTCCATGAAGATTCTAAGAATCTCGGCCAGAACTGCCCTGAGCCCGCCTTGTTTTCCTGGGTGTCCAAACTCTGATAACAGCTGGTCCAAACAGCACGGAGGCACCTCCTGGGCTACCATTACCCCGCCTCTGCTTTTCCGAGAAAAACTATGCCTAAACCATTAAATAAATAAATTAGATGTTTATATTGTTGCTTACTGCTCAGAAGCAAACAAATCAATAGGCCAATTTAAAATAAACTTACTCTGAGCCACGGACCCATTGGGATGATGCTGTGTTGTCTCCATGGACTCAAGGTACCCAAGAGTTTGACAAATCCTATCTCACACTATACAGTCTAATTTATGGCGAAATGAGCAAGATATTTATTAAAAACAGAGAGGGAGTCGGTGACAAAGACAGGTTAGGTTTCGCCTCTTCCTAAGAACAGCTAACAGGAGCTGATGGAATGTTGAGTTGGCCGTGAGTTTGGCTGAGCACTGGGAAAAGGTCAAATTGTAATGAAGAAGCCCAAATGCCTGAATAGGGAAGTAGTTCAAAAGTTCACCTGAAAAGCAACTTTGTAATCTCTACCTAATCTACTCATTTTACGTTCAAACCATAAATAAGAGCAAACTCCTTGTTTGTTTAACCCTGTGGGCTGGATAGGAGGTCTCAGGGAAAGATGCACACACACACAAACACACATGCAATAAAACTCAGTCTATATCTATATATTAGGAATATCTATATATTATGAATAAATGGTGGCCGTGAGTGAATGAAACTCTGTGCGAGTCCCCAATAGCACAGAGCTACTGGGGCTTTAAATTTCATTTATGCCTAGCATCAGGCTGTCTTCCAAGGCTGGAAGGAAATAAACAGGCTGAGGTCTTGAAGGATACTGTGCTTCCCCCATTTGATGGATTTCAGCTGACTCTGGTGGACTTTGATAAGGGCCAGGAGGGGGGTGTCGTATTTTACCTAGCATTATCGTTGGAAGAGCAAATTAATTCAGTTGCAAAATTGCTTTCTGCCACTTCTGTGTAGCCAGGAGGATGGCTTCCTCTCTCTCCCAGCTGATCTGGCCACATGGATCTCTGTCACAACCACTTCAAGGCTAGACTAGTGTAATATGGTTTACACGGGACCACTTCTGAAGACAACTTGGAAACTTCAGTTGGTACAGAACACCACAGCCGAAGTACGATGTGGGGCTACTCTGCAGTCACTGCGGTGATTACACATTCGTTTATGGGTTCAATTCACGGCACTGGTTATTACATATAAAATCCTTCATGGCCTGGGACCCAGATATCTGCAGGACCACTTCTTGTGTTTTGCTGTGCGGTAACAACTTCATCTACCTGAACAAGGGATATTCAATGCACTGCCCTGAAAACGAGTGAAATCAGAGGCTCCCTGGATCTAAGCATCTTCTGTTGTGGCTCACATCTGGTGTATCAGCCATGCCTAAAGAGGTCAGGAAAGCTTTGACAAATTGGGCAAAACAAAACTTCCTATGAAAGGGACATGGTGGTAGTTTTGTACTGTATTTATTCGTGATTTTTAATTTTTTGTAATCTACTTTGAATCTTTTCAAAAAGGCAGATTATAAATGAAGAAGGTAATCTATATACTCTTTGTGTGCGGATACTTATTTCCGCAGATAGGGGGCATACTCTCCCCCAACAGGTTTTTCTACAGACTCAGGGGACTCTGTGGGTCTAGAAAAAAATTCAAAAAGTTAAAAAAAAACCTCGGGGAATGGTTGAATCCCCCCCCCATACCTTAGGGGAGCGGTGGCACAGAGGATTTATCCTCTGGTTAACATAGTAACATCTGAGCTGAACAGGCTTGCTGTCAGTTCTAGCCCCGCGCTGGTGTGAGCTACCAGCCCTGTCCCCAGCTCGCTGTCTACCCAGCGGTTCGAAAGCTTCGGCGAGTAGATAAAATGGGTACCCCTCCTTAGAGAGAGTGGGCACACTGAACCCCCCCCCCCCGTGGGGTGGAATGGTGGAGGCTGACAAACTGTCAGGTAGCCCTGTCATGGATCTGGAATGTGGAGGGGTGCCCTCCTCCTCCTCCTCATTCTCAGCTCTTCCCTGTCCAGCTACTGTGTGCTATCTCAGGCTTGACCTTGTAGTCTCCAGCTGCATTCTACTCGGCTGGGAACGCAACGGATTTTCGCTTTGTCTGCTTCCTCACTTGCTTTCGCCCGCGTAAATTATAATCATTGGCTTTTGCTCATTGGGGGGGATGTTTGATTTCACTGTAAGTCAGCGGCCCTTATACTGACGGCTATTACTGACGCAAGCTGTACACGTGTTCTTTAGTACTGGAACCACTAATAAATAGTTATCTTCTTCTGAAGCCCTATGTGGTGTGACCTGCCTAAGGAGCCTGGCACAAACCTAGGCCTAGCAGCACCCGCTGGGTGACTTGAGACCACCTTTTTCAACTAGGCCTGGCTGCTTGCTACTGTTCAACAGCAGCCACCCTATGAACGTCAGTGTAGTATAATGGTCAGAGCTTCAGGGTAGGGTTTGTGAGACCCAGGTTTAGATCTTCATCTTGCTTTGGAAGCTCACTGAGTGATTTTGGACCAGTCACATACTTTCAGCCTAACCTACCTCATAGGGTTGTTGTGTGGATAAAAAGGAGGAGAGAATAATATAAACTGCTTTAGTCCCCACTGTGGAGAAAGACCATAGTTTTCCTCAGTAGAGGCTGCAGGAGGAAAGGAGATGAAAAGCTGAAGACAGAGGGGCAGAAAAAGGTAGGTTGGCTGTTGGGTGGGAAGGAAATAGGGATGCCAACTCCAGGTTGAGAAATTCCTGGATATTTGACGGGTGGAGCCTGGGGATGGTGAGGATTGAGGCGGGGAAGGACTTCAGACAGATATAATGCCATAGACTCCACCTTCCAAAGCAGTCATTTCCTCCAGGGGAACTAATGTTGCCAACCTCCAGGTGAGAAGCTCATGTTCGTAATTCATTCACAGTGTGTCTTTATATTTATACAATCTCCTCCCGTGAGCTCTCATTTTTGATATACAACCTCCAGGTGAGGGCTGGAGATCTCCTGGAATTACAACTGATCTCCAGATGGCAGAGATCAGTTCCACCAGAGAAAATGGCTGCTTTGAAGGGTGGAGTTTATGGTATTATACTCTGCTAAGGTCACTTCCAACCTCAAACCTGATCCTCCCAAGGCTCCAGCCCCAAATCTCCAGGAATTTCCCAACATGGAGCTGGCAACCCTAAGAGGAACTGATCTCTGTATTTGGGCAATCCGTTGTGATGCCCGGAGAGCAGCTCATGCCACTACTGTTGGGGGGAGGGAGGAAGTAGGTGGGAGGCCGGGAGAGTGATGGGGTGGGGGCAGAAAGGAAGTGACAGGCATGGAGGAGAGAGTGTAAGAAAGGAGAAAGTGTGAGAGACGTAGGGAAGAGGGGAAGCGGCAGATGTGTGTGTGTGTGTGTGGGGAGGAGGGATAGCCACTCTCACAGGTTTCTTGCGAGTCCCCAGTGGTAAATAACTATCTCTTCCTCTGCTGAAGATGCTGTATTCTGAGTATCTCCTCAAACAGGAACAGAAGGATCCATCAGCAGTGGAAGATTTACTAACTGCAATCTTGGAAGAATATAGGAACATAGAGCCAACTGGAAGGTACACAAGCCTAACTGGACAGAAAAACAATGCCAACCGTCATACCATTTCTTAATGCCAAGTTCCTCACCAGTGTACTCAGACTTGAATGCCCTGAAGACCTCCTTTCCCGGCACCAGCTCTTGCTGAAGAAGCTGGTGTCCTTGTGACAGGGTCAAGGCTTCCTCCTGGATAATCGTTTTCTTGCATCCCTGGGAAAGTCCTAAGACCTCTAACTGTTCCCTACTCAGTAATCTCACCCAACTTTGTAAACTACCCGAAACTGCCAAGGCAAAGCGAACAGGACGGGGGCATCCCGAGTGGTTCAGTGAGACAGAGAACAAGCTTCTCCCCCCCCCCCACTTGTCTCTCACCCTCATTCTGAACTGCTCTCTTGTACCCCACTAACAGGCTAGACAGGGGCCCTCTGTCACCTGACGCACTTGGCCTGTCAATAGCAATGGAAATGTCTGTGGCTCTGGAAGGCCGTTCTAAAAGGAGGCATCACAGAAGTTTACATAACTATGAATAATGCCAGCACTCAGGGGTCCCCAAATGAAACTGATTGCAATCATTAATAATTCACGGCTAAGAAGTACAGTGACAGTTGGTGGATGTTAATGGGCTGAGAAGGGTGCAACCCTGCTTACGCCAGCACTGTAATCTACAGAGGATAAAAGCCTATCTACAACTATTAACCATGATTGTTCCTGGGAGTCTCCATGTTCAGAAGCCATGTACGTGTTGCCACGTCTTCTATGAGCAACCAGGGGTATCTGATTGGCTGCTCTGGGACACAGAGCACTAGGTGAGATGGCCTGATACCAAAAGGCAATTCTGATGTTATTCTAAGATGCTGATGCAAAATAGTTTTTGTGAGACCATGCAAGTTGCTCTCTGCAGAATATAGACCATGGCACAAAGTATGTAAGAGGATACATTTGCACCCACAAAAACAATATGATCACAGCACTCTCATCCTGGAATCTCCAATATGAAGACAACTGCAAAGTACCCTTGCAGAGCACCCCCACTGGTCAGCACCTGTTGTACATATCGGCCATCATCTCCACTTCCAGCTCAGCTGCCAGCTGCTGCGCCCTCAGAGGATCCATTGCGCTTCCAGGTATTTATTCTTGATACTACAGAAAAGGCACAAAGGATGAAAAACCCTGTGGCTATAAACCCCCATGACCTACGCAATTTGCCACCCAGTTAGTATAATAGTTTTCTGCTGATTTCCTCAGTACTTTTATCTAATGATGGGCCAGGGAATGTTAAAAAGCTAATAAATTTGAATCTGTTGACACCCACCCAACATAATAGATCAGTGATGTGGCAATAAGGATCTTTCCTAATATTATACTCTCCAAAATTCCACTGGCCAAAATCTTCTAACACCCCTGAATTCTTATACCAAGGGTCATTGTACAGCCTAAGTCCCCCAGCCACACTACTCCAAGGAGGAGGAGAAGAGATTGGATTTCTACCCCATGGCCCTTCACTACCCGAAGGTGTCTCAGAGCGGCTTACAAACTCCTTTCCCTCCCCCTCCCCACAACAGACCCCCCCTGTGAGGTTGGCGGGGCTGAGAGAGCTCTTGACAGAGACGGCTCTTTTTCAAGGACAGCTCTTATCAGGCCATCCAGCCAGGTGCAAGGGGAGGAGGAAGGGGGAACCAAACCCGGTCCTCCCAGATTGGAGTCTGCGCTCCTAACCAGGTCACCAAGCTAACTCCAAGTTGCTGAAGGTGCTGTATTCAATCACCCTGCACCAATTGAAAAGCAAACAGTTTTGTATTATGATTATTAAAGCCTAGTGGGGAAAACAAAGCCATCCTCGAATGTCCAAGATCTACACCAGGAGGAGCTTCCGCTTGTGAAGGGGGGGGG